TAGGGACGTCTGTACGGTAATAGATGATATGGAAATGGTAGAAGCTTCCGAGGAAGTAACCATGAATGGTGAAATCGACCCTCGTATCATCGAATTTGAATCTCATACAGCTCCAGTTTAGGAGCAAGAAAATCTCCCGGTAGACTTCCAGGTTTCCGCAAAGGTGTTACAAATGGGAATAGGCCTATCAACGGAGAGCAAAGAAAGGCTCAAAACTTCCTGAGCAGGAACCTGGACGTCCGTCTTCGCTTGGAGGCATTAGGATATTGTGGGCGTTGATCCCAAATTTAGTTGCCATCACTTGAAAATGGACCCAAAAGCTCTCTTATAGAGATAGAAGAGAGGGGCCCTTAGCCCAGAACGCTATGAGGCCCTGAAGGAAAAAGTGCAAAAGTTGATCAGAAATGGCTTCATCAGGGAGGCCCAATACCCAAAATGGATCTCCAACCTGGTTTTGGTAAAAAAAGCATAGCGAAAAATGGAGGGTGCGTATCGATTTTTTTGACCTTATCAAGTCTTGTCCCAAGGATAGTTTTCCACTCCCTAGGATAGATCAACTGGTAGACTCCACCTCGAGGCATGAATTATTGAGCTACATGGATGCCTATTTTGGTTATAATCAAATTCTCATGTTCCCGATGGATGATGAGAACACCTCCTTCATCACATATAGGGGCCTCTATTGCTAAAAGTTGATGCCTTTTCGGCTAAAGAATGTCGTAGCCACTTATCAAAAGCTTGTTAACAAGATGTTTGCCGACCTCCTTGGCAAGATGATATAGGTCTATGTGGATGACATACTCGTTAAAAGTCTGAAAACAGATGATCATATAACCCACTTGAATGATATTTTTTGAATCCTGAGGAAACATCGGATGAAGTTGAACCCCCTTAAGTGTGCCTTTGGTGTTGCGTCGGGCAAATTCTTAGGTTATATGGTTAACCAAAGGGGAATAGAGGCAAATTTTAATTCAACTATCAATTCCACGCAGTATATGAATAACTATGCCTGGACTTGGGAGACTAGTACGATGAATTAGAAATTTTAAATTTTTATGATACCCAAGAAAAGAAGGGTACTTCGGTAATTACTAAATCCATGCATAACATAAATAAGGGTAATTATACTACCACTACAAAATTTATTAAGTGCACCACAAATTTTAATTTTTTTTCTTATTTACTTAAATAGCCTTAAGTAAAATTACATAATTAGAGTTAATATACTTTTAATTATTCACACCACGTTATAATCACACCACAAATATAACCCTAGTTTATTCTTCTTCTTTTATTTTATTGTGCGTCCGTAGCCATCAAACACAGGTAAGAATTCATCATGGAAACTAATTTTCTTCATAAGCACAACATATAAATGGGGAGTTCTATAAAGTCAAGAAATGAAAACCCTATACAAGTTTGCCTGATACAAAAATGAATAACCAAATCCTAACGGCAGTACGAATAATGGCCACAGAAAGAGAAAATAAGCAAATTGCTTTCATTTTTTTGCACAAGATATTGTATGCAGTTCTTAATACGGGAGGGAAATAAACTAAAAAAGGATTTAGTTATGTTTTCTTTCTTAAAATTGTCAAAGTGTGGCACTTGAGTCCCTACCAAGTAATTACATTTTCACAATAAATTCCATTTCTGTAGATGTAGAATTAGCGGCAAAATCTCAAACAATTTCACCCATTTCACCCATTTCATTACTTATATCCTGTGTGGGTTAGAAAAATAAGAGAAAATNCTTATATCCTGTGTGGGTTAGAAAAATAAGAGAAAATAATTAACTTACAGATTCTTTAGCCTGAAGTTTCTCGGCTTAGCCATTCACTACACCACAATATGTTTTTTATTTTTAGTTTTTATTAGATAAGGAGTATAATTGTAAATTTATTGTGGTGTATTTATTGAAAATAAATTTTAATTGTGGTGTAATTATAATGTGGTGTAGCAAGTAATTTTTGTAATGGTAATATAATTACCCCACAAATAATTATACATGAACTTGGGGGACTATTGTTGTGACTTGTTACTAGAACTTGCCACGTGACCGGCCCAGTGAAGTCGTGGACCCACTCCTGCCGAACCATCAACCGTAGAAGATGAGACCCACATGGTAATTTTTGAGGCATGCTACTAATCCGAGGTGGACATGCCGAAGAAGCCCAGTGGGTCCAAGGCTCCACCCCAACTAGTGATAGCCCACATGCAGAGATCCAGAATTTATTATAGAAATCCTATTTGAATGATTGATGTGACTTCTGTAAAAGTGTATTTGTATCTTCTCTTGTCAATATGGTGTAAGTGCATTAAATGCTTTGTAAAGCTAGGAAGTCAACATGATGACTAGGATTTGATGCTTCGGCCGTAGAGATGAGGCCACGTGCAATTTTGTCTAAGGTTCACCATTCCGTTTGTAACACTATAAATACCGACACCATGTAACAATTGAGTACTAATGCAACTTTAAACACTTGGAGTAACTTGTTTTATTCTGTTATACATTGATTTGCAATCTTTGATCTACATTCATAGCGATTGGTTATTATAATACAATCGTATCCCGGATATTCTGCGAGAACCCGAACAGAAACGTCTCGTGTCATTGAGCTTCTCCCACGTCCAACTTCGGAATGATCTGGACCGTTGATCTACCTTTTACGTGTTGGATCTAACTTATGCATGTACGAGTGAGTTTAGCATCTGTTGGCAACTTATTTTGAGGTCAATAGGTGACAACATTCTATGTGACATCATCATATTCATCCATTTAAAAAAAATATTTTCTATATCCATTCGACAATACATGATTGTCAACCATTGTTGTATACTTAAATTTATTCTTAAAACAATCCTTAAAAGGCACTTCGACGAACTTCTGGTAATTTTGTGGAATTACACTCGGGTGTGGCAATGTACATTAACATGCTTCGCCATTCAACCCATCATAGCCCTTCATCATGGTTGTAAGTAAACTATTAGTCAATTAATGCTGATACTTTGCCCCTGTTCAGCATTACTAAAAAAAGGTTAATTTCACAAACGGTCACTGAACTTACCTAAAAATTACAAAAAGGTCACTAAAGTTTAAAACTTGCAGAATTAGTCACTGAAGTTTCATGCGCTTTCATAAACAGTCACCAAACTTACTATTAGGATTGTTATGATGTTAATTCAAATTTAAATGATCAAAACACGTGGACATAGAAGCTTGAAGATCTCAAGTGCAAATTAGGTCAAAATTCTGTCAAAATGGCCGAAATTCGATCCTAAAATTTGACAAACGAGAGCTGTAATTTCTACAAGTGATTGAGTACCCAATGTTTTTTTAGCCTGAGTTTCAATTCTCCCATATTTATTTGTATCTTGAAATACATTTGAGCCTCTAATTGATGGATGAAATTGAGAGTCATGCGGGCGGACCATTCTTGAAGCCAAATCCAAAATTGTTTCTTTTGATTGATGAAATGTAGCAATTGAATCCTTACCTAAGGCCGTTTTATCATGAATCTCATTCTGGTTGGTTCAATTTGTTGATTGGATTTGTGGAGAACATGCAATTAAAAGGGGATCGAGTGGCTTATGATGCGTTCGAGCTTCCCCACCGTTAATCGTCGATTCCAGACCAAATTGGGGAAGACTCATGCTCTCAATGGATGCGCTAGAAGGAGTAGTTACCTGAGGTGGTGGTCCGCGATCATGGGTCCCACCATCGACGCCAGAATCAAAAGATGAAGATGGCGGACAACGCAAACAAAGCTTTCTGATTTTGGTGGAGTTGATTATTTGTTGATTGGAGGCTATGGATAGGGTTGTCTAGAGGAGGAGAATCGACCAGTATATTGGGCTTAACGTGGGTGTCATCGGAATTTGTATTTTCGACCGTTTTGGGATGGGGATGGAATTCACACTTGAGGTTCAAGTTTCTATGTCCACGTGTTTTGATCCTTTAAGTTTGAATTAACATCATAACAGTTCTAAGAGTAAGTTCAGTGATCGTGTGTTAAAGTGCATGAAATTTAAGTGATCGTTTCTACAAATTTTAAATTTCAGTGACCGTTTTGTAATTTTTATGTAAGTTGAGTGACCATTTGTGAAATTAACCCTACTAAAAAGCTCATTTTTTATTGCGTTAAAGTAAAAAATTAAAGTTATCTAATATCGGTGGTATTAGAGTACCAGTGTATACGACATTATGTAATAAATTCAATTAAAAGTGAAATTATGTGATTCATTTAATTGAACCTATAATTTAATATCACCAGTACTTTCGTCTAAATTGATGTTATATCAGTGGTGCTAAATAAAATTACTAATCAATTCAAACAGTAATTTCATAATTATTATTAATTTATCATTCACAGAGCTCATATGACCAACTACTATTCCTCCTAAAATGTTACTAATAATTTATGGTAATATACTTTTTGATTTTTCCGTTACATAAGAACAAAATCAATCGTTTTTTTTGCTTTTGGGCATGAAAATTGGAGTTGAGATTTATTGTCCATTTATACTGTCTAATTTACTCTCCACCAAATTACAAATTGATACATCATGAAAAATTAAAGTTGTCAACTTAATTTTTCATGATGCAGACAACTTTAATTTTTCGTGATGCGTCAATTTGTAAGACAATTTGTAACTGGTTGCATTGCATGTTAAACAGTAAAAATAAACAGCACATCTTAACTCTGGAAATTAATCTGTACTTCGAGCTCTCTACTACGAAAAGAGAGTTAACTTGTACAGTTTTACTCAGACCTTTTAATGAACAGACAAGTGGATGTTGCAACGTGTAACAGGGGAACAAATCCCAATTTCTTTTTTTTATCCATGCATGTTGCAATTTGCAGTGAAGATTCCACCAATACAAATTTCCTCAATGGAATCCCCAAATTCCTCATTTCACCACATTTTCCTTCATTTTCATTTCGGATAGGAAAACATTTTCCAGAGGGAAAGGAAAAACAAATTTTTTTCCTCCCAAAATGTCCTCTGAACCTGAAGATAAAGCTCCGTCTTTCTCGTCTCCCAAATCAGTGCAACCTTCACTTAATCCACAGCACAGCGCGGCAGCGTTTATGATGGATTTGGATCTCGATCTCGAATCTTCCTGCTCGTTGGACCAGATCTTTGCAAATCCTATGTCGTCGTTTCTGCTTTCGAATTCGGAGCAGCCTTGTTCGCCTCTATGGGCTTTTACAGATGAGTATAACGATTGTAAACCGGCTGGAAATTACGTCTCTAGTGGAGGTTTCAGCCACTCCAACTGCTCCAGGCTTATGTCTTGTATGACTCTGCTTGCTCCGAGCTTGTTGTTTGACTTTTTTTTTTTTCTCTGTGCATTGAATTGTTAGCGATTAAGTCAAAAAATTCTTTTGTAATTTAGGCAGTTTATTTTGGCTATCTTTGGTTGAAAAAGTTGGAAACTTTTGAGATTCTATTGTTTCTACCTCATTTTGAGATTTTTTGTATTTTTTTGGTGATTTTGACTTTTTTTCTTTTATGAACCTGTAAACTGGCTCTTATTTTTTGTTTAGTTTAGCTTTATATGTACATATGAAAAAGTTCATCATTCGAAGGAACTTTATATGGATGTCCAGAAAAAGTATAGAAATGAATAAGAAATTTTAGATCGAAGCAGCTGATATAACTTTACATAGATGAGTGTCAATTCTTAACTTTTGGGATGTAGTAAAGATGGAAAATTTAAATCAAGGTAGATGTGATTTTTTTTTTTTTTTTTATGTCTGCTATTTTCAAATGCCAAACTATCCAAAATTTGGAAAATTATTTGTTTTCTGTTGTTCTCTAATTTTCTTGAAGTGCTACTTGTAATCAATGGTACATGTTACCAGAAGAATGCGCAGTAATTTTCTTTTGTTTTGCGAAATTTGAGCAGATACGGGTAATCCTGAGTCAATGACCGAAAATCCAGTGGAAAATGATCATAAAAGAAAACTGCCTTCACCACTTCTGGGATTGAGACCAATTGATAATCCAGATGAGTCTTTTATAATCAAGGAGAGGATGTCGCAGGCTCTTCGATACTTTAAAGATTTGACTGGAGAGCATGTCTTGGCTCAGGTTTGGGCACCAGTGAAGAATGGTGGTCGGTATGTGCTGACTACTTCAGGGCAGCCCTTTGTTCTTGACCCAAACAGTAATGGACTTCATCAATATAGGCTAGTCTCTCTGATGTATATGTTTTCTGTGGATGGAGAGACTGAGGGAGCCCTTGGACTTCCAGGTCGTGTATTTCTGCTAAAGTTACCTGAATGGACGCCTAACGTGCAGTACTATTCTAGCAAAGAATTTCCACGGCTGGACCATGCTCTGAATTATAACGTTCGTGGAACTTTAGCTTTGCCTGTATTTGAACCTTCTGGACAGTCCTGTGTTGGTGTACTTGAGCTCATAATGACTTCCCAGAAAATTAATTATGCTCCTGAGGTTGATAAAGTATGCAAAGCACTTGAGGTTGGTTAACCATTCTCTTCCTAATACATCATTATTTCAAGCTCTTGCATTTTTGTTGAGCACTTGACTGTTCGTGTTCTTATTCATGATTTTTGTGCAAATTGTTTGATTGTCTTGTCATTACACTATTCACCACACTCCAAATCGAAAGATTAAAGTAATCGTTCATTGTTTTCAATTCCCGTGCAAGACGTTCTACTCCTTTTTTAATGGTATCAGTTTGTTTGTGTTCTACTTCTACAAGGATTCTTCAGTTACATAAATTTAAGTTCTTCTGCAGGCTGTGAATTTGAAAAGTTCAGAGATATTGGATCATCCAAGCATACAGGTAAGCAGAAAGTTCCAAGTGAAGATAGTATCAATAGTGAAGTAATTTATTTTTCTGACTAAATAATCTATTTGTCTATCCTATACACCAGATATGCAATGAAGGTCGCCAAAATGCACTGGCTGAGATCTTGGAGATACTAACAGTGGTATGTGAGACTCACAAATTACCTCTCGCTCAGACGTGGATTGCTTGTAGACATCGGAACGTCCTAACAGATGGCGGAGGTTTTAGGAAAACTTGCAGTAGCTTTGATGGAAGTTGCATGGGACAGGTATGCATGTCGACAACTGATGTAGCATATTATGTGGTGGATGCGCACATGTGGGGCTTCCGCGAGGCCTGTGCAGAGCATCACTTACAGAAGGGCCAGGGAGTTTCTGGGAGGGCATTTGCGTCACTTGACTTGTGCTTCTGTGAGGATATCACGCAATTCTGCAAAACTGAGTATCCCTTGGTACATTATGCTCGCATGTTTGGGTTGAAAAGCAGCATTGCAATTTGTTTACGGAGCCGGCATACTGGAAACGACGATTATGTTTTAGAATTCTTTCTGCCTCCGAATGTCCAAGGCCAAAATGACCAAAGGACCATGTTGGATGCAATGTTGATGACAATGAAACAGCATTTTGGGAGCCTGAGGGTTGCTTCAGGGAATGACCTCGAACATGAATGGAGACCTATTGAGATTATAGAAGCATCCATGGATGAGAAACCTAATTCAAGGCTCGATTTTGCTGCAAATTCTCCCCCAAAGTCTGCTGCCTTGCCAAATGAAGAGGCGGTGCATCTTCATTCATTGGAAAAGCAGCAATTGGTTGGATTTAATGCTACTAATAATGAAGGAAATGCTGTATCTTTTGTTAAGAATAAAGAACAGGTCAAGAAATCAGAGAGAAAACGAGGAAAGGCAGAGAAGACAATCAGCCTAGAGGTTCTGCAGCAATACTTCGCCGGGAGTCTTAAGGATGCTGCCAAGAGTCTTGGTGGTATGTTTTAATCTTAGCACCCGTTGCTTATCATTTTGTTCACTTTGAATGATTCTCTTGAATGATTTTTTTTATTTTTATTTTTTGCTTATACAGTTTGTCCTACTACCATGAAACGCATCTGCAGGCAGCATGGGATCTCTAGATGGCCCTCTCGTAAGATTAACAAAGTTAATCGTACTCTTTCTAAGCTAAAACACGTAATTGAATCTGTACAAGGTGCTGAAGGAGCATTCAGTTCGACTTCTTTGGCTACAAGTTCGATTCCTGTTGCTGTTGGTTCAATTTCATGGTCAGCAAGTATGAACAAGCCCAATCAACAAAGTTTGCCGAGGTCTAGACCATCTGAATTTCGAGAGAATAAGCATGAATTTCCCACCCATCAAGCACCTGGAGGTGATGAACTGGCAGAGACCTTAGGAGCCGAGGAACTTGTTCCGCAGCAAACTGGAACTTTGGTCTGTGAAGGTTCAAACAGATCAAAACCAGGGAGTGGGTCGAGAGAAGAAAGCACGGGGACCCCAACTTCTTATGGTTCATGCCAAGATAGTCCTTTTCTTGGAAATGAAAACTGCCTACAAAATGATCCAGCCGTTTCACCCGTCAATGAAAATCACATAAAACTCACAAGTTCACTTGAGTTGAAATGTCAACCAATGAGGGAGATTAATTTATCTGTAGCATTGTCGTCGCCCAAACCCGATGCTTTTGTTACAGCACCCCAAGAGCCATTTGGAGGAATGCTAATTGAGGATGCAGGAAGCTCACGCGATCTTTGTAATCTGTGCCCAGATGGCGAGACTTTGTTTGATGCACACATCCCAGAATTCAGTTGGACGAAACCACCGAGTTCTGATGCAGTTCCCAGTTCCACGGTTGTTCCTATTGATCGAATGCCACTGTTTTCTACCGAACTGAAAACCATCACGATAAAAGCCACTTACCAAGAAGATATTATTAGGTTTCGACTCTCTTTGGGATCAGGCATTATTACGTTAAAGGAGGAAGTGTCAAAGAGGCTGAAGATAGATGTTGGCACGTTCAATATCAAGTACGTAGACGATGATCAAGAGTGGGTTCTAATTGCCTGCGATGCAGACTTGCAGGAATGCATTGATATTTCGATGTCATCAGGTAGCAACATAGTCAGATTATTGGTTCATGATATTATGGGTAATCTTGGGAGCTCCTACTAGAGTTCGGGCGAATGAGGAATAGGATTGTACATGGTAATCTCATAGGAAAATTCTCGCAGTCTTAGGATGATATCAAAAGTAATTGTAAATTTTGATCATGACCCTTATTTTAAGAATTTTATTAATTTTTGAGCATTTAGAGAAGAACTCAGCTACATTTACAGAAATTTTATACAGATAGGTTGACAGTGCATGAAAACATCTATTTCATTACAGACTGCAGAAGCTCATGTTTAGTGCTTTCCACGACAGAATTTGCAAGGCGAGACGACATGGTTATCGAGTTTTAATGTAGAAAGAGACAATAAATTTATTATTTGATCAGTAGGCCAAAATAAACTACCAAAAAAACATTCTTCCCCAGAATTCAACATCACAAATTGAAGACTCAATAAACAACTAATCTAAAAAAAAAAAAAAAGAGGAATGGCGTCTCAAAGGCCAAGGAGACAAGAAGCCTTGTGAAATTACAGCTTCAACACAATCCAGAGTCTTCTATGTAACAGGATGTGAATTAGAGAGGCTTGGGAGAAATTACCTCCATCAACTTCTGAGCCCAAAACCAGACCACTTTCTTGACGTCTCTTTCTTTGTCCTTCTGGTATGAGGGTCGATAAAGTTTTCAAGTGATTTTGCCTCCTTGTTCCTAGACCTGCCGGATTCTTTCAAAAGCTCAGTTAGCCTTTTCTTCTCGTCATCAAAATCTGGATTTGCTGTTCCAAGATTCTCTTCTCTCAATTTAAGAACATACTGAAGAATCTCTATTGCATCTTCAATTCTGGAAATTTACAGAAAACGTTGTCAAATCAGGGTCACACCAATCCATATTATCGCATCAAGGCATTAACACAGGCATAATATCAGGCTCCCAGGACTTCCAAAATGCCAACTGATGATACATCATATCATGTCATGCTTCAAACGGACGAGTAAATCCATTTGATCCAAACTTCCTCCAAGTTTCAGTTTCTCCATTTCAAGATTCTTATTGATTTGAAATTAAAGTTCAACAACAAATGCATTACAGTTCCCAATAGGGTCATAATCAGAATACAGATGCATTCGTGGTTGTATCTGATGCCTTGTGGTAGCTTCGCTTCTCATGTTGACACCATGAGCTTAGAGACTAGGATCACTGAACAAATATACGTCATAATAATGACACTCACACCATATATGCAGTCAACTAGGATTCCAGAATTTGTAATTGTTGGAAAAATTAATTCTTCAAAATACTGCCAAAGAAGGTAGTATTTTGCATCACAAAGCTCAAGAGTCAAGACAACCCAGAATTGAATTTTGGACGAGTCTAAAAGCTTAGGTATTAAAGCACCAAGGAGTTTTAACCCATAGTTTGGTTTCTTATACATACTTTAATATTATCTCTGTCTTTGAAGCTAACAATATTCTTAATTAATACAAGAGAGCAGGATTTATGAGTTATGACCCAATAGAATTCAGCATTTGAAATTCCAAGTGTCAATCCATTTTTCGATCAATAAGTGAGGTCTGAAAGCCTATCTTTTATAATTCCTGAGAGAGAGAGAGAGTAAATTCGTTCTAATTTAAGCAAGTTCTTTTTTCGCGGGGGTGGGGGAGAATTGTCAACAAAAAATCCATAAAGAGCACATTTCGTCTAGTGATATTACCTTCCCATAGCATCATAAGTTGCTGCAAGATTGCTATATACACCAAGAGTTTCCTGATGATACGGGCCACACTCCCGTTCCAATATTTCTCTTGCTTCTTCAAACAACTCGGCAGCCTCATCTATCTTGAACAATTGTACACCAGCCAACCCCATCTGGTTCAACACAACTCCAAAGAATGCTGATTTCCTCTCACCGTTGGCCCTAAGTTTTGCTACAGCATTCTCGAAAGAGCTCCATGATTCTTCATACCTTCCAACCACGTAAAACATCACACCAATCCGTGCTTGGATTCCAGCAATTGTAATTTGCTGCCCGGGCTTATCCTCCAAAAGTTTTATGGATTCCTCCAGGAGTTTTAGTGCCTCTTCAGGTTCGTCGAACAATTCATAGATAGCTGAAATTTCAGTCATTCCACTCGCAATCTCTTCTACGGCAGTTTCAGGTAGGGGGCTTGCGTATATTCTCAAGGCATTTTCAGAATAAGATCGGGATTCCCTTAGTTTTCCTGTCTTGTAGTACAAGTCAGCAAGCCGAACAAAGACTGAGGCAACTGAAGGGTGGCTGTCACCCTTAGAAGATTTGAAGACAGTCAGTGCCTTCTGGTAGGAGAAAACTGCCTCGTCAAAGCGGGAAAGGGACAGGTACATGTTGCCAATGCTAACATCAATAGCTGCAACCTCATTTTCTTGTCCGTTGGCAATCATTGCCATTCTCGCAAGCACAAGGTGTTCAAGGGCTGATTCATAACCTTCTTTAGCCTCGCATATGAGAGCCATCAATCGACGGTCAGCTGCTTCTTCAAGAGATGCTGGTGGACTATGAACACGGTGAATCTCAAGGGTTTTCTTGCACAGATTCTCAGCTTCATCGAATTGTACTGCTTGAACATGGGCCTCAGCCAAGTACCTGCAAGTTGAACAATCATGATGGAAACAATTTCAGCATAATAGATTCTATCCTTTTCAGGATAAATTGAAATATTGATGTAATAATACACATCAATGTCACATATAGGAAAACATGTTGTAAATTATCATAAATGCGAGCTATTTTGATTTAAACTATTAAGGCTTGAGATCCTATCTTAAAAGGTCAACCTTATTAAGAGCAGTAGCCCAATCTTCTATAAGTTGGTTTATGTTTTCATCTTTATTCAATGTGTGATTTTATCACTTAACATAAATGACTCTCATCAATCACAAAACTAGAAGAGTTCTGAAGAGCAAAGCAGGTTAGATGTTACAAGACTCATCTGTGATACCATAAGAAAATCTAAAATTGCCATATGGAGCAGATCAATATAATGCCATCAAAATCCTGATTTTTTCTATCAGCATTATTCTGGTTTTAAATTACAAAAAGATTCTCTCTCATTGGTTGTGCTACGCCTCTCATTGGTTGTGCTACGCAACTAGAAATGAATCATCTGTTTGGCATCCAAATATAAGGATCAAATCATGATAGAATGTTGCTTGTTTATCTTGACGAAATGGGATGAGTAATCAAGAAAATACTCTAATTAGACAAGACTCCCACATATATGGCTCAACAGAATGCTTTACCAATGCTTAATAACTCCTTGGTTCTCACACTTCGTAATTCCATAAGCATCCCACAGATCAAATACCCACCAATTCAATAAATTCAAATTTCTCAATAACAAACCCAATCAAATCCCAATTAACGCTTTTAACGATCAACAAAAAACTCCAGAAAATGAAAAAAAGATGACAAAAAGTTAAATTACCTGCAAGTTTCTGCAACCCTGGGATCATTTTCACCCAAGGCCTCCCTCTGTATCTTCAAACCTTCCTTATAACACTCAATAGAGCGATCCAGCTGCCCGAGCATCGAATGCGTATCCCCTAACTGCATGTAGCCGGAGAATGCTGCGAGCGCATGATCCGCACCTCTTGACACCTCCGGCACCTTAATTGCCCGTTCCAGAACCGGTGCTGCCTCCTCAAATCTCCCCAAACTACAATAAATCGCCGCCAAAACGTGCAAACTCATCGCCAAATCCAAATTCGGCTCATTGTCAACCACGCACTTCTCAAAAGACTTCGCAGCCCGAAGAGCATATTCCAAACCCTTGTCCAGGCCCTCGCCCGACGCAATTGCATCTCGGGCCAGTTTCAACAAAAAAGGGCCGAGATTCGGGTTGTCAAGGGAGGACTTGTCGAGTCCTGATTTTTCCGGTGGGGACATTTTCTTCCGATCGGGGGAGGGTTTGGCGCGTGATGTTGACGTTGAAGGGGAGGTGGGTCGGCGAATGGCCGGGGAGTTGGATATCGGGTCACCGGATTCTGACCTGTCGGATTCGGGTCGGATCGGGGTTTGGGACCCATGAGGTGGGGTTTTTACGGATACTAAACCGGGCATTTCGTCTGATAATTTGAGAAAATCACTGTGTGACTGAAAATGTGAATCGGATTAATTAATTTGATATATAAGAGGCTAAACAAGATTATGAGAGATGATTAAATGCTTAATTAAGGGTTAAATGATCAACAGAAGCCACCATTTTCAACAGTTGCTGCTGAGAGGGCGGGAAGATTTGCTGCAAGTATATAATCTACAACTGGTTGTACATTTATTTGACATGAAATTGGTTGTACTTTTATTCTCGGTTCTAAAATGCGCGCACATACTTCGCATGTACCCACATATGAATGATGCAATTTCGAAGCACCTCATATTGGGTATACGTTGACTTGATATGCACGCTTAAACGTCAAAAAGCGCATGTATTTGTATTAAAAATCATGTTAAAATTAGCCTAGCAAAATTCAAATCATTTTTATAACTTAAAAAGGAAAATTGGAGCCAATAATTATCAAATTAACCCAAATCACTCGAGTCCATAAATTATATAGAGCAATCTATAGCGATTTGACGTTAAAAAAAAAAATCAGAATAAATTTTTTGTAGAGTTGCAAACTATCTACATCGAATCCAAACTTCTTTCTTCTTCGATATTTCTCTAGTTTTACTAGTAAATGATGTTAGTAATGAACAATGTTTGATTGTTGATGGTTGTGATGATGAGAATAAATTTAATAATGATATCCTACAATTTACAAGAGGTAATAAAAATTCTTGAATTGAGATAAGGGAGTTCGGTGAAGATGATTTTACGTCGAATGACACTGAAGATGAATTGGATGAAGAGGAGTTTGAATTGGAATCCGACAAAAAATTAGACAATATTTAGATTTTTTAAAGCTAATGTTCATATCTAATTTATTTGTGGGAATCGATAGTATTTATTATTTTGAACATTGTGTTTATGTTAAAAATTTGAAGAATGTGTATAAAGTTCAAATAATTGCAGTAGTTATGATTTCGAGCAATATTGTTTTTGACAAAAAAAAAATTGAAGAATACATATACAATTTAAAGAATGTATTATTTTATTTATTTATTAGTCTAGAATATTAAAAATTGGAAAATGCATAATTATGCATATGCTTCGCACAGACTCGCATATTCTTGTGATGCTTAATACTCGATCGAAACGCATTGTCATGCATTACGTATTTTAAAACCTTGCTTTTATTTAACAAACGGTTGTCCATTAATTTAACATGTCAAGACTAGAGAAGTAATTATTTTGTAATATTCATAAACATAAAAAGATTATCTAGATCTTTTTTAATATATTTGAGCTCGTCTTAATAATTTCGTATACAATTAAGACTAACCAAATTCAAATGTCTTTGTAAACTTATACGGCAAAAGATCAAAAATAAAATACAATTTTAATTTATACCATAATTTGAATCAATGTACAACTTAAGTCGTGATCGGATGAACCCATTCATTAATGATTCAATCGAGCTACATGAACATGGCCAGCCAACGTTGCCCTGTTCGTGAAAGGGGACCTGCGCTGCCTTGTTCATTCAACGTTATTCATAATGATCAGGCTCGTGTGACCAAGTAAAATTCCCACATCCAAACCCTAAAACTATCCACAAATACCATTACTGCCGCCATCGACAACCATCACGAACATCGTCCCCATCTAAAATCACTCACACCACCATCTCCTTTATCACATCCATCTTCCTCCAACATAATTGGTAACAACTCTTATCCATTGCTTCTCTACCATATGATCTCAAATTTATCTAAAACACCACTCCTCTTTAACAAAAGTTTGGGATATGATTTTGTTGTGATTACTTTAATGGTGTTTGTGATGATGACGATGGCTGCGAGATGGGATATAGAAATAGTGAAATTTTCTGATAAAAAATAAGAGAAAATTGTGGCGATGATGATGCCTTTTGTGTTGGTAGTATTGGGATGACTTTGATGGTGGTGAAAGTGGTAGTACATATATGGTGGGCTTGATGGTGGTGGCGATGCAATCGATGTCGATAGTAGTGATTGATATTAACGACAACAACAATAAAGGGAAGATATAATTTGAATTCGAGTGATTGTGGAAGAAGGGATTGTTGGTTGTCGGTAATGAAGGGATAGGTGGTGGTGGTGGTGACGACGACGACATCGTAATACACCACCGTGTAACATTCTGTGTAACACTATAACCAAATGTTACACATGTTATAAAAAGTGTAATACAAAAGGTTATACGTATTACACGTGTAACAAGATATTTTTTACATGTTAAATTGTCCCCAATACCATGAACTATGTGCAAATGGAGGCCCGAATCATTAGGCTTGGAAATGGAAGCCCAACTCTACAACGACGGCCATTTGATTCCCACACTTAACACATAAGATTCCCAATCTAAATCGACGGTTCGAATAATCCCACAACAAGCTGCAGTTTCATTGGCTGGAAAAATCAACCTCTAATTTATGATTGGTCCACGTCACCTGCAATGACATAGCCCGTTGAACCTATGAACCGAACCAAATCGTAAATACTGGAACGCGCTCTATATAAACCACGTCCACCTCACGCACACTCCATTCAATCCGCATTGTAATTTGTAAGCATACACACATACAGAGAGTGTTTACATATACGTATATAGAGAGAGGGAGAAGTTTTGAAGGTGAAGCCATGGGTGGCTCGTGGAGGAGGAATAGTTCATTCATTGTTCTAGCAATTGTTTTCTTCGGTAATTATGTTTGTGTTTTTATTTTTTATTTTTTCTGTTATGTTATGTTTTAATCTCGTGATATTGATCGATGGTGGTGTTTTTCGTTAATAAAATGAAGATAGATCTAGATCTGTTACGTACTGATAATTAATTTGTAGTTAAGTAGCATATCAAATTGTGTAATTGAATCTGATATTTAGATCTGATAAGAATTTCGAGAGTTTTTCATGAGTTCATATCATTTATCATTCTAACATTTCTGATTTGTTTGGTTAAATTTACTTTTTGTATTTCGAAGACTATAAAAAATAATGATATGAACTTCTACGTCTACTTGTGGTGAATCTGTAATTGGAGAAATCCTTCTTGCTGGTATGATTTCCGTGGATATTATATTTATTCAATTGGAATATTAGTTCTTTCTCTGCAATTGGAAAGTTTGTTCGTGTTGGTATGCCCTGAATTTGGTAAAAGTTGCTACTTCGTAAATATACTTTTCTCAACTGAAGAAATAAAGAAAAAATATTGTGCTGGAAAGGCTCAATTAAATGATGCAATTTAACGCCTGTTGTGCAACTTACACAGAATTATTACACGTGGCCCTTTTCAATACCTTCAGCTTTCACATGAGAAGGTTAACATTATTGCCACCTGTTTATTAACGTGTCTGACTTTCTTGAGATGTGAGGGGTTGCGCTGATGACAAGATATATGGCCATTCTCTATCTGCATATGTTTTTAGATGAGAGTTAACAACCTTGAAACGAACTTTAGAATATGGAATTCACTCTGTGGCCTGAATGGGTAAATGCCAACATGAAAGATTGATATATATCATTGTCAACAAGTAATTGTTATGTTAAAACACTACTACTTCTCCATACGTCCTTGGCTCATGGTCTCATTGCTTTTGGCTTCTGTGTTTGAATTGTGACTACCTTGCTAAATAAATCATGAGCTCTAATATTGATTAACCTTGTCTAATCAAACAGGCTGTCTATCAGCAATTTCTATTGCAAAGGATGAAGCCACCAAATTGGGAACAGTTATTGGTATAGACCTTGGTACAACCTATTCTTGTGTTGGTGTTTACAAGAATGGACATGTTGAAATCATAGCTAATGACCAAGGGAACCGTATTACCCCGTCATGGGTGGCATTCACTGACAGTGAAAGATTGATTGGTGAGGCTGCGAAGAACCAGGCAGCTGTGAACCCTGAAAGGACTATATTTGATGTTAAAAGACTCATCGGAAGAAAGTAAATCCATTTTCGTAAATGTATTAAAGTACTTTTGTTTTACAGTGTTTTGGTGATAAATTACTAATTGAAGCTTTAAACTTATGTTTTTGACAGGTTCGATGACAAGGAAGTTCAGAAGGATATGAAGCTTGTTCCTTACAAAATCGTCAACAAAGATGGAAAGCCTTATATCCAAGTCAAAATTAAGGATGGGGAGACTAAAGTCTTCAGCCCTGAGGAAGTCAGTGCTATGATTTTGACTAAGATGAAGGAAACAGCAGAAGCATTCCTTGGGAAGAACATTAAGGATGCTGTGGTAACAGTTCCTGGTAAGTTGACTTTTAAGTTTTATGGTTTATTGTTGTCGTATTGTTTCTTTTCTAGTACAACATGAACTGTGATTGCCTTGTATTATTTGATAATTCTTAATATTTGTTTGTGGTGTACCTCGCAGCGTACTTCAATGATGCCCAGAGGCAGGCCACCAAGGATGCTGGAGTAATTGCTGGGCTCAACGTAGCAAGAATTATTAATGAGCCAACAGCAGCAGCAATTGCCTATGGTTTGGATAAGAAAGGTGGCGAGAAGAACATCCTTGTCTTTGACCTTGGTGGCGGAACCTTTGATGTCAGTATCTTGACCATTGACAATGGCGTCTTCGAGGTGCTTTCCACTAATGGAGACACCCATCTCGGAGGTACATATATTTCTTGTTAATATCTTGGTTTTATGTATCTGATAAGTGTGTTTATTAGGAAATCAGTTATTGGAAAATGACTGATTTATTTCTGTAGCAAATGCCATTGAATCATGCAATTATAGTAACTAAATTTCGAAGCCTTATATATTCAAACAAACCGCCCTTGAACACATTGTCTTTTTTATGGTATAGCTGAGAAATCAATTTGATGTATGATCTGTTTGCCAATCTGAAAGTATGAATTTTCCCAAGAAGCATCTCATGATAACTTGTTAAAGTTTGATTTCAGCTTTCAAAATTGTACATATATGTTATTCTGCACTCCAAAGAGGAAGTCTTAGAATGATAATTTTGTGA